AATTGCTGGTTTTCCTAGGTCTACCTCGGAACCGGGGTGGTGGCACTTGTCAGGGACCCAGCTATTGGCAAATAGTTAACCACACCCCAAAAGGAGTAAAAATATATGAAAGTATAAAAATAGTTTTTTAATACCAGCAATACTTTTTTGTAAAAATTATTACCAGCAATATATTTTTGGAAACAAAAATATTACCAGCAACAAATATATTGTCGGCATTAAATAACCCATTGAGGTGTTGATATGCCGTAAAACAAACCAGACCAAACCAAACAGAAAACATTGTTCACCACGAGGTGTCACTTTTCTTTTGCTTTCGTTAGATAAATTTTTAGTGTATTCATATATTTCACATTTCTGATGCTAAATACCTTTTTATTCCATAAACCGATCATCTTTTTTACTTCTTTTATATATGGATGTTTTTGCCATAACCACGGCCGACTCTTCATCTCTGCTGAATAAACAAAAGTTGATTTCATTTATCTCGTTATCTCTCATACCCGTCCTGGGTATGACGATAAACTACATCCGGCAGCAAGGCCTTTGATCCTGAACTTTTGTTAATTGTTGTTTTTTCCAAGGTTCATCCAGAACCGCAGTGGTAGGACCTATTAGGATCCAAGCTTTGGGCAAATAGTTAACCACCCCAAACTGAGGTTAAGAAATATGAAAGTATAAAAAATGTTATAGCAAAAATACCAGCAATATATTTTCACAGTAAAGACTATTACCAGCAATACATTTTTGTAAGAAAAAAAATACCAGCAATATATTTTTGTCAAAGAAATTACCAATGCTCAAAAGAAAAATAAATTTCGGGATTAAATTACCCATAATGCGTTGATATGCTGTTAAACAAACAAACAAAAATCTTACAAACAAATACATAATTACAAGCCTTCATTGTTGCCTCATGATCATTACTAGTAAGTTTGATCGTCACTAGTGACCCCAATACTCGTGGCCTTGTACCAAACTAAACTAAGCTTATAAACAATAACTATGCGATCTTTTAAGCGGGCAAAAATATTTATTATTTTGTATAATATTTTAATAATCCATGATACTTTTAAAGAAATAAGTGTGTGAGAAGTGGTTTATTAGACTGCATCTGATTAATGTGATATGTGACCTCTAGTGACCTTTTAAATTTGAGTAACAAGCCAAATAATTAACCCTGACCCCGCAACTGAGGTCAAACTGTCGGGCCTGAAACAAATTATATCAATGTTAAGGTCCCGTATTTTGCTTATCGTGCAATCAATATTAAGCACTAGCAGCATGGCCCGGCGTTGCCCGTGCTTGATTCCAAAATCGTACGACTCATACAGCAATCGCTATCACTTGACTTAAAATATTTTTGCCTTTAAAGGAGTGCCCTTTGCCATGCTGATGTTGCTACATGCCTTACTTCTTGCCTATCTCACACTGCGAATTTTTTCTAAGTTCTATACTAAACATTAAATCTGTTACGAAAAAAGAACTAAACAAAATGAACACAAAACGATCAGCTTTAAAAAAGGACTCGTAACTGGAAAAACCGAATGAAAAAAGAATGTTAAAAACAAATACTTTTTCACACCCAACCCAGTTCTGCGGGATCAGAATCAGCGTTGAGTTTAAGCAAGCGAATGAACCAATTGGAGTAAAGTGCAATGCAGATTTAAATTTTTCCCACTTGTGACGAATGCAGCTATCGATTTTTTTTTTTTTGCATGCTAGTTAACATTCGTGTCAGTCAGCTGTTGGCTCTCACGCTGGCCAATAGAATCTTCCAGCCTATTCGTGGCAGCCAGCTATAGGCTCTTACTCTGGCCAGTAGAAAATGGTCGCAAATTTTGGTGCAAATCCGTCGAAAATTGCGGCCGTGCAGTCGTTACACACACACACACACACACACACACACATCCTGCTTTATATAGATAGAGATTAATATTTTGTTAATGAGAGAAATCTGAGACTGAAGAAAATATTGCAAATAAAACTTAACTTAATTTTTTTTTCATTTTGTTTGTGTGTGTGTGTGTGTGTGTGTGTGTGTGTGTGTGTGTGTGTGTGTGTGTGTGTGATTAACTCTTAATGAAAACGATAGTTGGTTGATACCTTTTTCCTTTCGAAGGATTTTTGCCAGAAAGAAAATTTAAATGAATTTTTCCTTTGTACCAAATTTCATTAACATAAAATCCTGCGTTAGCATCCATTGTCTACAAAGTCGCTGGTGAAAAACACCATATTGAAATGAAGTTCTTCGTGAGCCAATTAACGTCAATAAGAAATGCCTATGAATATTGTTGTCATAATTGCTGAATATTTAATAAATAAATAAAGTATTGTTGATATTTTGATGTTTTTACTTTCTTCTACAAATGTTTTGCGTTAATCTTTTGTAAGCTTAAAAAATAAACGAAACAAGTCAAAGTGCAACGGACCTTAAAGCAATGAGTATGTCAGAAAAGATTATGAGAAAAAGAATAAATGTTTGTCTTAATGAAAATAAATAATTACTAATGTAATCATCTGCTTGCTTGGTCAGCATTAGTGTTGAATTGGCAGTTTAATCTGCCGTTTTAAGTCATGTTTTTTAGTCAAGATTCTTTTCTCTAGACAATTTGCGCTTCAAAAGACGTGTGCTTCATTGGTGTGATTGCATTAACTGCCATGAACGCTCGCCATATTTTCGCGCCAATAGACAAATTCCGTGAAGCAGTGAACTTCAAACGCACGTATTCTCTAAAATTCCATTTCTCGTTTAACTGGGTTTGACTTAGGCTGAACTTACAATGAAACAGGGTCACGCGAGGAAGGAATAGATTGCTTTTAGCAAACCCCCGATTGTGGGAGGAAATCAGTTTTAAAAAAACTTGACCTTTACTGACACTCAAAAACTGTCGACTGGAGCTAAAGTGTAATACCTCCCCACTTGAACAGACCAACATCCGTAAGCTTCCAAACATATCAACCCTTTTTTCATAGATAAATCGATGAAAGATCGAAATGATGAGTTGGTTATGGTCCTTAAAAACTAATACAGAAATATCAAATTCGTCTTTTCAAATCATAGAGGCGTTTCAAAAGCGACAAATCGCTAATCTTGACAGTGTAAATTAGAATGTGTTTTATATGATAGAACATAAATATATGCTATGTTCTCTAAAGGTTGCTGATTAATATATATTATGTACTCTTAAAAAGACACTTTCACCAGACTCTTATAAGAAGAACGATGATTATAAATTAGAAAAATATGCTTGTAAAACAATGGGTTTCAACTATTCCTTTACTACATCTCCTTAATTCGCTATAGTTTAGCTGCTCGACGCCTTTTCTCGTGATTATTAGAGATAAATGCAATATGAATACAATCAAGTTCTATTTTGATTCAGTTATGTGCCATACGTGATATACGCTTAGGCGATCATGTATCTTTCGATACATGACTGACGAGGCAGATTCCCCCACCCGCACGTTGCTATTTCTTTCTGTGGTAGACCAGTTGCCATTCAAGGCTATAAAACCTGATCTCTCCTGCTATTTACCCATAGCTAGGGGAAAAAGATGAGGATTCTTACCTTTCCCAAGGATATTAGCACGCAAGTGAATGTAATGGATCTGACTGGAATTCGAACTCTGCTCTCCGATTTCTCAATCCGAGCCGCTATCCATTACTCCACCGTATTGAAAATATCTTTGTCATACTTCATCCATGTCATTTACAAACAATTTCAACCTGTAGTGTTGATATACATTATTATCGAAAGAAAAAATGGAATTAGTTGTTTCTCCGAATTGCTTGATAAATAATTTGAGTTTAATGACGACGTCAGAAATCTTTAAGATTCAGTTTTATTACAAACCTTTTGAAGGTTTCAAATTTCAAAATTTGTGACTTATGACCTGAAGGTCAAGACGCACGATGTTAGGGTCTCTTACACGACACACGCTGATTGGTTGCTGCTGCTGCACCCAAGAGTCACCTTTCACGGTCTTGGTAGAACGTCGGAATATCCTCCAGTGTCAGATTAATCTGCTGGAGGTTCTGGCGGACAACGTCCTTCCAGCAGCTACGTGGTCCACCGCGAGGATGTCTCCAGTTTTCAGATGGCGGGCCGGTAGAGGATACTGGTAGGATAGTCATCAGGTCGTCGTAGAACGTGACCGAATTAGCGAACATGGCTCTGGTGCAGATGTTCGGCTGGCCGGTCCTGCGTCGGAGCTCCTCACTGGACACCAGATCAGGCCAATGCAAACTTCGATGGTCCTGAGGACGCATGACTCGAAGTCATGGACGCAGAAGAGGAAGATCATGCTGAGAAATCACGTCTCGGTACCGTATAATAGCACAGAGAAAACGGTGTCATTGTATATGGGGCGTATTTGGTTTAGTAGATTGGTAGTACCCTTGCAGTTAAGCGGTCGCATTCTTGCTACTTGTTCGGGTGGCTTAGCCAACCTGCTTCATCTAGCCCACACCTATGTCTCCTTGAACACGACGATGTCCGCACCCCGACCAAAACTACGTGGGAGTTAGCTAGATAGGAGTTCCTCGGCTGGTGAAGGTTAATCACATAAACTCAACTTGCACCAGTGTCACCCCTTCCATATCGGCGGGTTAGGACACAACTTGATTTGCTACCAAGGAGGCAACTTCAACAGCTGACTAGCGTGCACCGGGTTAACAATCCGGACAGGTGAATCTTTCTATTGTTACGATATCCACATGAGATTTTAGCCGGACTGACCTTCAACGGATTGGACCTTTGGTTTCGAACAATGGACAATAAGTTATAGACAACGGATTACACCTACGACAGGGCATTCATCACAACCTGGAACATCTTCACATTACGCCACCCTTTTCTCCCGCGAGTTTTCCGCCTACAACTTCACCTTCATTTTTCTCTACGAGGTTCGCTGTGTAGGCAGCGGCGAATGTTATGCATGTCTTCTTATGGAGCGAGCCACCTAACGGAACAGGACAAGGCTGAGTAGCCCCCGTTATGCGCAAAACCGCATGTCGCTCTTTGTTTAGTTGGGAGCCCGTGAGCAACCACCTGCCCACTACCCGCTTCCTTCACTATCACGAGAAGATGACTCTCACCGTCGCCTATGACGATCAGAAAAAAAGGACGCCTTCTACGACCAACTCCGCTCCCTCCAGAACAACGTTTCCATGCCAACCCGATCCCCTTTCGATTATATTTTCTCATTGAGAAGTACTGAGAATACCACAGAGACCTCCACCTCCACGTAAAATAAAGGGTTGTTGTAGGAATGTACAAGGAGAAATAAAGGGGTGACTATTAGAAGGATATGTAGAAGAGATCAAGATTTACACTAGATTTGAACAGGTTAAGAGTGTAGTGATCGAAGAAACATCCTTTCGGGAAACTGCTTCACAAGGTAAAATTTCTGAGGAAGAAGCTTTCCAAGTGGAACTTACTTCTTACAAAGGTAATAAGGATGTGTCAACTCTGTGTACATGTCATGGCAAGTCCTAGCTGTGAAGGTTTGGAACCAAGGAATGAGGCTTGTCTGAACATCTACAATGAACATAACGACAGAGTAACACGGGGCTAGTGGTGTTTCATCTGTTGAGAAAGTATTTGGAGAATAAATAATCACTCAGACGGCCTTGCAAATGTTTTTTTTTTAAATCTATCAACCCTGGAAAGTGATAATGGGACAGCTCGAGTCTAGATATGCCAGCAATACTCTATTTTAGGTCTAATCTGCCTCTTGTAAAAATAGAATATGACAGAAAGAATCAGGCACTTTCTGGAGGAAATCTTTAACAATGTATCGTATATAGGAGTTCGATTTGAAAGTCTGGAGTGAGATTGTGGGTCCCAATAGACGTTTCAATCAAGGAGCTTCATTGATTACAAACGTTTATCATAAACAGAGAAAACTCAGGGTTTGCTCTGTGATTAACAATGCATAATTTATTTTGTAAATATTTCACTGTTCTTCCAATTTAGTCTATGTCGCCGTTGTGTTGTACATTTCCGTTTGGTGTCAGAGGTCAGCGTTTAAGTTCAGATAAAAGCCAAAGTTTTGAATGCTAATTTTCAATCAAGTAAACACACGACTTTTCAAAGATTGGCGCTATACAATATAGTTATTTTCCAAGCGTAGCTTAGATGTGGCACAAGGCCGAAAGTATGGGGCACCTAGTGAGGATCGAACTCACTACTCAGTCGTAATTGTTCTAGCGAGACAAGCTTGCTAACCATTACACCACCTCGAGGTGGCCTAGCGCTATACAATATATTCTATTATTCATTTCTGCTATTTGGCTTTATACAAGATTAAAATAATAATGTTAAATGCTTATAATGTTATCTTCCTAGAGTCCTCTGTTCCATTGCCGATCATCATGATTCATTTTGTCAGTAGCTAGACAGAAAGTAAATTCGATGAAAGTAGAATTTGTGTACATCAGCATCCCATTCATTTTTCTCCTTTTTAGTTACTTTTTTTCAGGCTTTTCTCTCCATTATCAATAATGTCAGATACAGGCTAGTGTTTGTCTTCTTTTTTTCATGTTGGGCGACTCATAAAAGATGCAGAATGAAGAGAGAGAGCAATAAAGAAAATATAATTCGCTACCAGAAAAAAACGTAATCTGAACCTTGATGAATATATACAGACATGTAAAGATAATATCTATCTGTTTGATAAATACATACATACATATATATATATATATATATATATATATATATATATATATATATATATATATATATATATATATATATATATATATATATATATATATATATATATATATATATATATATATATATATATATTTTTCGTTTAAAGACGCATCAATGCATATATATATATATATATATATGCATTGATGCGTCTTTAAACGCAAAATAAAATTTGCAGATACTTATCGGCAGATTAAAGATTACGGGTAATCCGTAACGGTAACAAAATTAAATACTAGGTGCACCAGTTAATCTGGGCGGGGTCCAATGCATAAAACGGATCGAAATTTTAAACTCTGCACCGAGCATTGATTGCTATTTGCTTTTGTTGTTGTTGTTATTGTTGTTGTTGTTGTTGTTGTTGTTGTTGGTGGTGGTGGTGGTAGTGGTAGTGGTGTTGGTTCTTCATTTCGTTGCTTTCATTCATGTAATCGTCGTTCGTCGACGTCATGACTGCGCATTCACCTGCACAGATTTAAGCGGGAAAACTGAAAACAAAAAAAAAAAAGATAATAAAACTGTTGCCCTGCATTCAGACACGTCCATTCAGAACATTCACAGCGACCAAACACTGAACAAAAGCCCAACAATGAAAGAGACAAACAAAACAAATGATCCTCACCGACATTTAATCTTAGAATGAAATACAGTTGGTAATTGTCAGTCCGACAGCTTGTGGACTAACCATCTGTTTGTGCATCAAAATTACAAACAGTTTACAGAAGTTGTAGTTGCTTTTTTCTTAATCATTTCACCACACGCAAAGCAATAAATCCACTAATACAAAATGGCTAGCTGTGTGTGAGAGAATATAAGAAAAATACATTATTAAGGAGAGGGAAGAATCAAGGAACATAAAATAAGAAGACATTGCATTTAAATTTTTGAAGATCAAAGTTGACTGGGAAACAAGAAGCCAAAAGCGAGAAGTTCTAGAGAAGAAAGAACTTAACATCTCACCATTTCAAATGTAAAATGATGAGACCTTGCCGCCAATCTAGTACTGCGATTAAAATCATAAAATCTTTATTAACTGCATTTATTACCCTAGAATTATTATATACGGTATCCTAAAACTGTGTAACTATTTTTATTAATATTTATTATTATTATTATTATTATTTTTTTTTTTTCTTTGATTTCTGGCGTTTACATATTTCTTTCCGGGTCCCGCCTAGGGACCTAAGGTTAGAAATGGCATCATGACACTTTCCACTGGCAAAAAAAAATTACATAGATAAAGCCCTTCGTAAAGTGTGGGCTGTACTTGTCAGAACAATTTTTTGTATCTCCTTGAGGCATGGACTTCCAGGAATCCCTTCAATTAGTCTACTGCAATCTTTTCCAATCAGTCCTAGGGCTCCAACTACAACAGGGATTGTTGGTGTTCCCATATGCCACATTTTCGAGATTTCTATTTCAAGGTCCTTGTATTTTGACAGCTTTTTGAATATCTTCAAAGATACATTGCAGTCAGCAGGGACTGCCATATCAATAAGGAGTCACTGTTTTTGTTTGTGTCTTTATTATTATTATTATTATTATTATTAGAAAACCAACAAAAAATCAACAACTTCTACAGAGAAAAGCAAGTCCCCTCAAACTATAAAAAACCTTTTGACTATTCTCACCATCAGAATATTATTTGTCTTTTCGTTTTTTTTTTTTTTTTTTTTTTGTTTTTTTTTATGGGGGTGGGTGGGTATCTTTTTCATTACAATTATTTCGATTGGTATTTTGAGTAACTTTCATATTCATAATTTTGAATCTTTCAAGCAAAATCCAGGTATTATTCAGTTTTTCTTCAAACTCCTTAGAGTGTCACTGCCATGTCGACGACGTGGACAAATGAATTTCTGTCGATTTTGTCTTGAATAAAAAAAAATGGTTGTCGTGGAATGGCAAGATTAAAGAAATTTGCTGTATTTATCTGGGAACGTTAGAAAGCAGAATTGAGGGAACTAGTGGAAAGGAAGATTATGTTGCGCTAATCTTCTCAGCCAAAATTGTTCAGACGAAGAATTTATCACTTATCGCTTTGACAGATGCTTTGATAAAGACTTGATTAATCTTTCGAGAATTGACCCATTTTTACGGCTACAATCAGTTTTTCTCATTCTTCAAAACCTAGTAACGGGTCTTAATCTCTAAAACCCCCCGTTGTTCGATTGAGGTTCGGGATTTCGAACAGAACAAACTATTGCTTATCACTCATGTTAATTTTGCTATTCTGTAAATATAAAGTTTAACTACTTTGGAGATTAGAGAAAATATAAATTCAAATTAAACAATTGCACGTTACTGAAAAAGTTTTATTTTTATTGGATGTGGTTCAGTTTGATTACACGAATTACACGAGTTAACTTATTAAACCTTTTTGGTGTCCTGCTTACGCTGTGGCCGAGGAATTCTTCAGCCTTCATAGATGTCAACAAAAACGTTTCGTCTCAGATTTGTTTCCTTCATTTTTAGTCCTTTTTATTATTATTTTTTTTATTTGTTACTATTTTTTCTTTCGCAGTTTAGACTGATTAATTCTTCGGCCGACTTAATTCATTTCTTTAGATCGAATTTTCCTTTTCCTCCTTACGAAAGTTATGACTCATGAATGATCTTTACAATTACGCCCCCAATATTTTTTGAAAGCATGACGTTTCCACGACTACGGAGATAAAGAATCTGTTGTTTGTTTTATTATCAGATTCGGTACAACTGAAACCGTCGGTCATCTCAAACTGTTCGTCTTTTTTCAAACCGTCGATCCTCTCAAACTGTTGATCCTCTCAAAGCGTCGGTCTTTTGAAACCGTCAATCCTCTCAAACCATCAGTTCTCTCAAACCGTCAGTTCTCTCAAACTGTTGGCCGTCTCAAAACATCGGTGTTTTCAAACCGTCGATCCTCTCAGACTGTTGCTTCTCTCAAACTGTTGGTGTTTTCAAACCGTCGGTCTTCTCAAACCATCAGTCCTTTCAAACTGTTGGTCCTCTGAAACCGTCGGTCTTTCCAAACCGTCGATCCTCTCAAACCATCAGTCCTCTCAAACTGTTGGTCCTCTCAAAGTGTCGGCCTTTGAAAACCTCTCAAACCATCAGTCCTCTCAAACTGTTGGTTCTCTCTCACAGTGTCGGCCTTTGAAACCGTCGATCCTCTCAAACCATCAGTCCTCTCAAACTCCTCTCAAAGTGTCGGCCTTTTGAAACCGTCGATCCTCTCAAACCATCAGTCCTCTCAAACTGTTGGTCCTCTCAAAGTGTCGGCCTTTTGAAACCGTCGAAAGTCCTCTCAAACCATCAGTCCTCTCAAACTGTTGGTCCTCTCAAAGTGTCAAAACCGTTGATCCAAACCATCAGTCCTCTCAAACTGTTGGTCCTCTCAAAGTGTCGGCCTTTTGAAACCGTCGATCCTCTCAAACCATCAGTCCTCTCAAACTGTTGGTCCTCTCAAAGTGTCGGCCTTTTGAAACCGTCGATCCTCTCAAACCATCAGTCCTCTCAAACTGTTGGTCCTCTCAAAGTGTCGGCCTTTTCGAAAACCATCGATCCTCTCAAACCATCAGTCCTCTCTCAAACTTTGAAACTGTGGTCCCTCTCAAAAACCGTGTCGGTTGGTCCTTTTTTTTGAACCGTCGATCCTCTCAAACCATCAGTCCTCTCAAACTGTTGGTCCTCTCAAAGCGTCGGTCTTTTGAAACCGTCGATCCTCTCAAACCATCAGTCCTCTCAAACTGTTGGTCCTCTCAAAGCGTCGGTCTTTTGAAACCGTCGATCCTCTCAAACCATCAGTCCTCTCAAACTGTTGGTCCTCTCAAAGTGTCGGCCTTTTGAAACCGTCGATCCTCTCAAACCATCAGTTCTCTCAAACTCTTGGTCCTATCAAACCGTCAGTGTTTTCAAACCGTCTATCCTCTCAAACTGTTGATCCTCCCAAACCGTCGGTGTTTTCAAACTATTGGTCCTCTCAAACCTTCGGTCTTCCCAAACCGTCGATCCTCTCAAACCATCAGTCCTCTCAAACCGTCGGTCTTCTCAAACTGACACTCTTCTCTGTCTTACAAATTTTATAAAACAAAAAATACGGCTGTGAAAAACGAAAAGGTTTACTGGATGTTGCAATAAAGTTACATACTGAGTGCGATGGATAAATCGTCGTCAACATCACACAAAAATGAAAATGACTCTGACATCTCATTTTAATAGATATATTTACCAAAATTACACAAAAATATCTTAAAATACTAAAGAGTGAATTTATTCAGTAAAATCGCCAGACGATTTCGGAATCTCCTGCAACTCTTCTGGATGGTTTCCTTGTTTAGGTTGGTGAATGCTGTCATAATGCTTGCCTTTAGTTCATCTTTGGTGTTTCAAGGAGTTTTGTTGGTCCTTCGCTCAATTACGCCTCACACATAATAATCAAGGGGGTTGCTGTCTGGGGAGTTAAGTGGCCAAATACAAGTGGTGATGTGGTCACAAAATTTCTCTGGTAGCCATGACTTGGTTTTCCTGCTTGTGTGTCATGGTGCAGTAGCTACCCTCTTGACTCAGGACAGCGCTACCTCCTCAAAGTACTTGATGTAGGACTCCGCTTTGAGTCTGAGACCTTGCGGGAAGATGAATGGAGGTATAACGTCGTCATCATTAGTGATCACTCCAAACACCTTCGTAATCACCATTAGACTCTTCCAACTCTTTCCGAATCCTCTGCACTGTCCTCAGATTGACACCAAAACATTTTTGAAATGTTCGTATTGGAGCTTCCGGTGCGAATGCCATGCAATACCTCATGCCATTTTCAAATTTCTGGCGGGGTGAATTGCGTCATGGTGCTCTTTTTCTTGCAGATGGTATCCAACTGACCCTGCTATACTGTGCAGTCGACTAAATTCAGAAACAATTCTCTTATAACGGTTGCCAGAACTCATTTTGTCCTGCTATTTAGCCATAGCTGGAGAGGAGAATAATAGCATTCATACCTTTCCCAAGGGTATTAGAACGAATCTAATGGATCCGACTGGAATTCGAACTCGGCTCTCCGATTCCTCCACCGTGCCGCCCCACAATAGCATTGAAATTTTTGTTCTCTGTTAATGCAGTAAGATTAACTGAGTACAAAGCATTTAAATCTTATTTATTTTACCCTCTTGATAAGCAGAGTAGCGACACATGGCAGCATTTGAGTTGGACTGAATCAAGTGGTTTCTAAGAAACCATAAATATACCTGATATGCTGGCTGGCGTCACTTTAGCCATAAGTCGAAAATCAACAAAGAGATCATTTGTCTTGTTATTTATATACTAAACTCGTCGGTCTAGTAGTAAATATTTCCGACTCCACACAATTTAGACAAATAACTTCTGGTATTTGTGTTTTCATTAAATTTTAATCAAACTCGTATCAATTTCTTTTAGAAGCTATATCATTATAAATGAATGAGAAAACAGATCACTAATCTACGGAAATATTGCTTCATATGCAATTGTCATTAAACATACGTCATTTAAAAAGAATAAAAAACTTGTAATTCCAACGGATAATTTATTGTTAAAACAGATATATTTCGGGAAGCTTTTGCAATCCTTGATCACTCTTGGAAAATAAATGAAGCAGTGACTAAGCTACATTGTATATGTTATAAATTCAAATTTACGGAAAAAAAATTCGATCGAATTGAGTTCTCGAGTCGTGTGTAAGCTGAAAGCGTGAGAATTGCTTAAGGAAAGAAAAGAAATGTCATTTCCAAACCAGAGTAGATAAAAAAAATACTCCTATTTTTTTATATTTTCCGTTTAAGTAGCGAAATCCATGCTGGGTGAATCTGTGCTGCATCAATTCTATTATAGACATTTTTGGTATTTGCTATTATCATTTGTTCAGCTTTGGTTGAATTTGTGTTGGTTGGTCAGTTTTATTTCAGGTTGGTCAAAGTCTATTTTGTGACCTTCTTTGATGGCGTGAAGTGCAATTGCTGATGACTTCTCTAGTTTTTTTTTTTTTGGTCGGCTCCATTTTTTATTACCTTAGTACAAAGACGCCGATGTTCATCTATTCTCTCTTTTAGTGATCTGGAGGTTATGCCAATATAATTTGCTGGGAAATCTTTGCAATTGACTTTATAAATTATTGCCATTCATTGATCGTTCCTCTTTTAATCTTATGAGCTGTCGTCCAATCGGGTTTAATGTCGAGAACACCACTCTTATGTTCAGGAACTCTATAATTCTTTTTATTGCTTCTGATGTTTTTTCCTCGTGTGGTATGTTGGCAGTCATCCTTTTTTCAGCATCATAAGTTGTCTCATTATGCATGGTATTTTTTATTGTTAGTGTTGCAATTTCACTTCACGCCATCAAAGAAGGTCACAAAATAGACTTTGACCAACCTGAAATAAAATTGACCAACCAACACAAATTCAACCAAAGATGGGCAGCTGAACAAATGATAATAGCAAGTACCGAATATGTTTGTAATAGAATTGATGCAGTACAGCTTTATCCAGCATGGACTTCGCTACTTCAACGGAAAATATGAAAAACTAGCGGGAGTATTTGTTCTACTCTGGTTTGGAAATGACATTTTCTTTCTTTAAGCAATTCTCGCGTTTTCAGCTAACACATGTCTCGCAAACTCAATTCGACCATTTTTTTTTTTGTTTGTTAATTTTAATTTATAACATATACAATGTAGCTTAGTCACTGTTTCATTTATTTCTCAATAGTGATCAAGGATTGCAAAAGCTTTCCGAAATATATCTCTTTTAACAATAAATTATCCGTTGGAATTACAAGTTTTTATGCTTTTTAATTCAACTTCACCAATTGTTGTGTAGGAAACCTACCACCCCTCTTGAAGATGAACTTGTCTACAAACAAAGACGTTAAATAGTGGCATGTCAAAAGACAGAGGGAGTGAGAAGTTCTTAGCTGAGCTAGTTATAGACTACTCAGGCGATTTCTGTACCTACTTACCAACCTAATAAACCCCCTTTTATTGTTACATGTTATTTGGCGTTTGTCTTTACTAACTCCAAATCAACATCATAACACCAATGGAATCAAGCGTTTTTAAAATTATGCGTCATTTAAGTCTGGTTAAAAATTCCACTTAGACTGAGTTACTACAAAATCAAAAATGTCCGCCAATAATTTATGTATTGAATAAGTTTAGCTTAAACTAGCAAAATGTTATACAAATGAGGGAGCCAGAAAGGATCGAACTCATCACAATGACGTGTTAAGAAAGAGGTCATGAATGAAAAAACAAAAGTATAACAGCAGAGAACGGAGTTTGAAATTTATAAATTTCAACTGATTGAAGTGTCAATCAATATATTCAGATCTCTACTGTGAGAAACAATCTGGAGGCACCGTTTTTTTTCTCTCCAAAATAATCCGTTGCCAAATCAGATTTGTTTTAAGCTTTTTATTCAAAACTCCCTTTTTTTTAAGAACATTTAAATTTCGATTTAATCTGTGTTGCCAATAAAACAAATTTGATAAAAGAAAGAAGAAATTAATATTTCTCTGATTAAGTGGCTGATAATTTTTCTTTTTTCCCCGTCTTTAAAGAAAAAGGATCAGAGATTTTTTTTCTGAGAAAATATTCTCACGTTTTCTTTACGGTTTCAATAGGAAAAGACCGATTTTTTTTCCAGTCTTAATTATTTAATGCCTTCACACTCAAAATGAGTGTTACTGAGTTTTGCATGAAAATATTTTTAATTCATAATTAGGAAAAGTTTTATAAAAGAGCAAAAAAGAGAACATAAAATTTCTGTTTTAATTTTCTCGTGTTTATCAAAGCATCAATCAGATATATATAGAGAGAGATGTGTGCGAACGTAAATGTTTATGTGGTTTGTATGTACATCTCTCATTCTATCTCTCTATATATATATGTGTGTGTCTGTGTGCGTACACACACACACACATATATATATATATATATATATATATAGAGAGAGAGAGAGATTTTATCTAAATACAACTATCTATTTCTTGTTAACAATTAATATATTTGAACCTTGAAAATGGCTGAATCTCCTATACTTAAAAGCTCTACATGTCAAATTTTGATTTTTTCATATGCACATTGAGCACTATATTAATACTACTGTTTAATGGTCTGATTATTAACTTTTTTAATTATATATATATGTATATATATATATGTGTGTGCGTGTGTAAGTGTGTGTGTAAGTGTGTGTGCGCGTGCGTGTGTGTGTAAGTGTGCGTGTGATAGAAATTTGAATAATCATAGTTAAGTAATTCATCGAGTCTAAAAGAATCCTCAACAGAATGCAGAAAGCGCCGGACGGCCGTTTCGTCCTATTTTGGGGGACTCATCAGCAGCGCGCATCCACTAACGTGAATCGAACCCCGACCGTAACGTATGATACGTAGCCAGCGTCATACCCACTGGAGAGGCAACTTATCAAGACTCGATATAGTGCAGCTCTTCACAAATATCGCCGTGTAACTCATCCAAATTTACTTAGTCCCACAAGTATGTCTACATATATATTTCAATGAAACATGTTTGAAAGTGTGTGTGTGGGGGGGGGTCTGTCTCCGTGCAAAATATTGAATAAACCTACATACACCTGTATAGAAAGGTATTAATTTTAGGGTTCTACGGCACGACCCAAAATGAAAAGAAATGATAGAATGTCGATCGTGTAGCGTCAATGTTAGAATTTGATTTTCTAATCGGAGGAGGAAATAAGCATTCAAAATCCTCATTTGTACACGAACACCTATGGCTGCTTAGAAATGATAGATAGATAGATAGATAGATAGATAGATAGATAGATAGAAACAGATTTTGATAGATAGATAGATAGATAGATAGATAGATAGATAGATAGTCATTTATTAGTTCCACCAATTCCAATCTACACATCCGGGACCCACTGTGACACGTTAACTGAGATGAATCCTATCTATTTCCTTTGTATTCCATATTAGGGATAAGTAAGTTCTACTCGGCCAACTTATTCTCAAGAACCGCTACTTTGTGGAAAAAAACTCCCAAGAGGGTGTTTCCCTGATTACTACAATCTTAACC